AATCAGTAACATTAACTATTCCTAACTTGAAAAGAGATACAAAGTGAAAAACACTGATTTCAGGACATCATCAAGCATTTCATGTATGTTTGGTGTGTCAGAAAATTACAGTGGTCTCATTTGCAGCAGCTCCTACAAGCTAGGAGTAGTTAATGATTGATGGAATATATTTTAATTAAAATTAGTAATTCCATGCACAAATAAAAATGGATAATGTTATGGCTTTGTGGATATTATTTAAAAATACAATACTGTTTAGCATGAAAWCTTACTTTAATTTTTAAATGCATGTTTTTAAGTATTTTGAAAAAACTAACATAAACACCAAATTTCCAGATAGAGCAGAAATATTTAAGGGTTTACATTAAATTTTTTTCCTTTTTTTGTTTTTGAAGTTTTTCAAACTGGATTTCCATACTCATAACCCTTCGTTTTGGCCCTCTTATAGGTATATCATTGAGAAATAAGGTTTATATGTAATTGGCTCTCACTGCATCAAACACACATATTTACAGTGGATTGTCTGGGAAGATGCAAAAGCTCTTRACCATCTGCCCAAGATGCAGTGAAGTTTAAGTTATTTTGAGTCAAAACAAAGGTTAAGATTAAGTCAGTGTAATTTCTTACTGATGCTTACTTCTACTACTTTAAGCTCTAAATGTATTTTTCAGACTAACCATAAYCTGATCCAGAAAAACTTTGGAGAAACATAATTCCATATCCTGGTATTGTATCCTTATGGAAGTTCTCCCATTTGCTTTCTTTTTGTGCTGTTCTACAAGCATTTCATATTCTCTATTCAGTTTTGCTGCCCAAGATGGGATGCTGGTTTATCTGTGTGTTCCTTTTTTCAGCAGTGTTTCTGTGGAATTGTTAAGAGGTGAAAATCACACTGTGGAGTATACCTCCTCCACATAAATAAATTTGAAAGGATCTTAGYTTAATGTTGCCTTGTTTACATAATGGGAAAAGTAGAGGCCACAAAGATTCTRTGGAGCAGCACCACAGTTCACCCAGTGTGTGTATAAAATCATAGCATCCTATTTCTTAACTATGAAGTTATCTTCACTGTCAATGTCAACTAATCTKTAAATTAGTTCCAAAATATCTTGGGACAGAGAAGCTAAATTCATTATGATTTGTTAGGGATTTTTTTCAGTGCTGAACTTTAACTATAAATGGAAAAGYATTCCTATCGTGACTTGCTCTAAACCCAGGAAGGAAGACAGAAGTGCTGAAAAGTGTCTGAATCTATTGCAGATTATCTGCAAGCTTTCATTCCCCTGAGATGCTGGAGGTCATTTCTGTTCTTCTGTCCAGAGATAAATACTATGAAGCACTTCTGGGGTCCTTGCTGTCCTTTTCTTTCTGAGCTGTCTATTCTTACTTGTCATCAGCTAGACAGAAAACATATCTGGCTTTGCCTTCTCATTTTTGGTCATTTCTCTGGGGCAAKTATGTGGATCCTCTCATATCCTCAGCTGAAAATGCCAACAAAAAACAATTGTTCACATCGTTCACGGAAAAATGGCATGGGGAAGATAACACCATGTCTACTTGCATTCACAAGAAGAAAATCTAGGAAACCAGGAGCAGAACTGATGGTARTACTTTCAGAGAAACTTCCCTAAAATTTGGACTTCTAAACATCCAGGTGAATCAAGTTACACCACTGAGAACTGGATGTTCCTCATTAAGGCACTTGCTGCTCACAACTGTCTCCGAGAGGAGTGACGTCAATGGAGATGATATCCATGATCTAGAAATGCTGCCACCAGCTATATAGTCCATTAAGATGTCTTTGTTGGAATAGAAATCACGTTATTAAATCTGGCTGTTCTGAAGCTCAACTCAAGGCTATCATTGCTACTTTTCCAAAGAGGTTTCATCACAGACATCTGCCAGCCAGCTGTGTAGACTTTCTGTCTGTGCTAATTTGCAAAGTATTGTTGCTGCCTTTAGCATTCAGAGCCATCTCCTTTTGGGCCCTTGATGGTCAAAAGCCTTTTTYTTGGAAATATTTCCTTCCTCTAGTTAGGTTGGTTACTTTTGTTTGATTGCATTTGATTTATTAGCTTTGGCATGAGCTTATTTTGTTGGGCTTATCTTGATTTTATAAGGTATCTTATAAATACATAAATGCTGACTAGTACAGCAAGAASCTGAGACTTCACTGATGCTGTAGTATTGCCCCACTGAAGACAACATCCTGCAGGATTCTCCTTGTCCACCAACCTTCTTTTAGTTTTGAAGTTTAGGCTCTTCGAGGTGCTTTTATATTTCATTAATTTAATTGCTTTGATGATTCCTGGAGGATTTTGCTGAGAGGTGGGGAAGAAGGAGACTGACTGGGCAGGTGGTGGAAGTGTAGGACCTCTGCTTTCCCTGCTGACACTGCCCTCTCCTGGTTCTCCTCCTGTGGACCAAGAGCTCAGGACCCTTGCAGGTGCCAGATAAGGAGAATGATAAATAACATTGGCTGTTTCTCTTGTTGCTTGGTCTCTCCCAGCTCCCATGGCCTCCCATCCTCCTGATGGATGGCACCACGAAATCTTTGTGCTGGCCCAGGAAGCCACAAAGCACCCTGTCYGAGAGTTCAAGACTCAAACCATTTCCAGTGGTGAGGTGGTTTGCAGGCTGCTGTAACTGGGGCCACCTGAATCTCTGGGATCTCAGTAGGCTCAGGAACCCCAGACTCAGAGGTAGTCCCTGAATCCCAGTCTCCTGGCTTTTAATATCCACCACTGCTTGTGGTTGTTCTGACTCTTTCAATCATACTTGCTGACTGGTCCTTTCCTGGGTTTATCCATCCATTGCAAGTTTCTGWCTAATAGCTCTGCCAGGCTGCTCAAACCTCATCACCCATCCACATCGTGCCATTCCTGAGCCATCATGGGTTACTGCTGAGTCSCCCCTTTTCCCCCTGAGCGCTTCCAGAGCCCCGGAGTGCTCCCCTCCCTCTTGTTTTCCCCACTTCCCCAGCTCATGTCACTCCACAGAGCGGGATCAGGTTGCTGTTGCATTGTGATTCTTGGCAGGAGCCCCTCTCAGATTCCTATGGCTGTTCTGTGAGTGCAGCAGCCAGTAGGAACAAAGCACATGAGAACACATTAAACTAACATTCAGCACGCAAAGCCCTGGTAATTTACTATATGCTACCCTGCCTAGTAAAGGGAACAGTGTAGCAGGCTTGCCCTTTTAATTTCCTTTCTCACACTTTTGTCTATACAATCCTGCACCATAACTTCCCTAATAAGCATTTCTATTTATTCCATAGTCGTTCTTAGGTTGTTTGTTTTTATGCAGTGTTTCTTGCAGAAACAATCTACTGTGCTTTGCTTGATACCATCACTAAACAGAGACGTGCTGTTGTATCTGAATTTTAACTGTAGAAATCTAACCTTTGCCACTGCATTGTGCTCTTAGAGTGGTAAAATGATCCCTGCTGTGCTGCTGCCTAATAGTTCTCTCCTTTTAAAACCTACAATGGCAGTGTTACAGAATTGCAAAATACATATCAAGAAATTTGTATACTGATGAACAATTACCCCTTCAGGCGTGAAAAATGCCACTTTGACATTCTTTCCATGTAATATATTAACATAGTAGAGTTCCAATAAAAATACTAATCAGTTTGGAATAAGAAAAGTTACAGTACTGACAGATAATACTATTTTTTTTTAAAACCACACAAAATTTAAAAGAAGGTTCAAATAAGATAAATAGTTGCTCACAGCAGCTCAAGATGGTGAGGAACTTTGGATTTAGAAGCTAGGAATAAGCTCCAGAATCCATTTTACATGTATATGCCTGCTACAATATGCTTGACTTTTTCTCAGAGGGAATATACTTCATTAGAAGAAAATCTTATCACTTAAMAAATAAAATATCTTTTTGATATATAATATAGGGCAGGGCTGTCTGCTTGAAAGCTTATCCAATCTGTCTGTCTATCCATATCATCTCATCTAGTTTGGGATGCTGCTTCTCCTTGTTCTGTGAGATCCTTAGACCACTGTGTGTACAGTAATCCCTAAAATGCTTGTACAAATTAYAGCCTTACTTGGGATTTTGCACAGTTCACAGGCCAGCATGGACTTTATCAATTGCTGGGCAGATAAACAGGTTACTCAAGGCAGATGTTTCCTGCTCATTATTTGTGGGCCCGCTATTCTGGCATTGGCATTAGGCTCGAAGCTAAAAGCTGTGTTTGCATGTACACCAGCATCTTGTGTGACACGGTTTGTGACACCACTTGTTGGAGAAACTGTTTATAAACTGTAGACAGAGTGAATAATACAAAGTTTGAAATTCTGTGTCCCACTATGAGCCAATTACAGTGATCTGAAGAACGAATGATCCAACAGGAAATGCAGAGTTAGTAAACAAAAATTGTGTATGTTCCGCTGCAATTGTAGATAGTCATCTTACGACTGAGTTAGGAAAGAGAGTTCCTGAAAATTAGTAGTTCCACAGGAAAAATAGAATTCTGGTTAACTCTGAGTGTAATATGTAACATTCCTATTGATTTCATATCAGGGATATTTATGAAATAATGGCCTATGAAACATCCTGTTGTTAACAAATCAAAGTCAAACTATTTAAAGCAATATACTAGAAAGCTGATTCCTGATATTCCAGTATTGCTTCTGGAGTATGGTTGCCTTCAGAAAAACATTCTACAGAGGAAGTTTTTCTCATATTTATCATGGAACAATATATTCAAGAGTAGTAAAGGCAAGTCATGTGGACATGACCTTTACTRAGAAGGCCACAAACCTGGTCCTGTAGAATGAAAAAGTGAAATCAGGAGTGGGGAGAGCATTCAGTTCCAGGTGAGGGAGTCATCAAGCAAGATGYCAGTGCTGGAAGTACCCAGCACATTGCACCTCTCTTAGCTCCCTTCCTAAAAGTGTTGTAGCTGAGCCTGCTGGTCAGGGCTCACCCAGCGAGCACATTTCATAGCAGGGAGTGACTGTGTCTCTKTGTGTTCCTTGCAGCTTCACAAGGAGCTGGAGAAGGGGGAGAAGGAGAGCGCGGAGCTGCAGGAGTTCGCCAATGCCATCCTCCAGCAGATAGCAGATCACTGCCCTGACATCCTGGAGCAGGTGGTCAATGCCCTCGAGGAGTCGTCATGACCTCGGCCACCAGTCCCACGGAGCAGCACACCAGTGGCCAAGCCCAGTCAGTCCACGGAGCCATGGGAGCAGAGAGCAATGTGAAAGACAGAAAATGGAACAGAAACTTCTGGTGCACATTTTACAAAGAAAACAAAGGCAAAAAAAAAAAACCCAAACCCTCTACAAACAACATGCTCTCTCTAGATTCTTCCAGTCTAAGATTAATCAGTCATTTTTGTATTCATCTTCTCACTGCCTTTCTACTTTAAAATCCAATTCCCCATTGACTTTGTTGGTGGTGACTTTTGGATACAGCTAAGCAGAGCTCTTCCAAGTCTACTGAGCAAAGAAGAGGGGATGCAATGAACAGAAGCAGCTCTAGTTCTCCGGGAAGTTGCAGAAGAGTAGCCCTTGCCTTTCATTCATATATTGCTTTTTTCCTTCTCTCCTTCTTATCTTCTTTCCTTCCTCTTATTTTTTATTTTCTTGAAAGCTGAAAGCCTGAATTTCATAGTGCTAAAACCAAACCTGAGTGTGCTCTGATCATGGCTCATGGCTGGCCAGCATCTGCTAGCTCAGGTTTTGCTGCCTGTCTCAATGTTTCTTATGTTCTTAAATAACAGAAAGAGGAAAGGAAAGTTTCTTTACTTGTTCCTGGTAGTCATTTCATCTAGCAGCTGGGAAAAAACGTAAGCGTACTGGTACTTTGTTTACTTAATTTGCTTTTTATTGTTCACTGGTCTCTGAAGTGCTAGGTGGGGCATTTTTTGAGGTAACTGTTTTCATCTGTTGATTTTKGGGGGGTTTTAGATGGGGTTTCTCATCGTAAGTCTGTGTCTCCTAAGTTCTTTAGAGAGCTCTCTCCCTTCAAGGAGGTGTGGTCAACAGGCCAGTTCCCAGCTTTAACTTGTATAGATTGTCCAATTTTTCAGGYCATAGCTTTGTGAACACTAGCTGTCATCAGAATAGTCTTAGGCATTCTGTAAATGAGCAARTTGCATCATTTAGCTCAAAAGTATAATTTTAAAGCTAAGTTAGATAAATTAGTAGCATCRTTCTTAATGTAATTATAATTTAATTTATTTTGGTTTAGCATACATGGACGAGGAATGAGTTTGAGTTCAGAGCAATAACCCTTATGATGAGGAGCATCTCTGCTGGAGTTGGCACCCAGCTGAGTAGATAGGTGTAAAATCACAGCTTTACTTAAACCAGTGCAATTCTTCTGTGTATATGAGAAGCCTTAGTTTTATTCCCATCCACCTTCCACACTCATTACAGCTCCTGCTGATAGGTAAAATGACCTGAAATACCAGGTTAGTTTGTCATCGTTTGTCATTCAAGTCAGAAATCCTATTTTATGAGTAAGACTTGTGTGTTCACTTGAACTATGCATTAATGGGGAGACACATTTTTTCCTGGCTGCCAGTGGTTATGTGTGTCTGGGGGCATCTGCAGGACAGAACTCTGTAACATGTCCCCGTGTGCTCCTTAAAGGAGTTGTTCCCTTTGGCTGTCTCACAATAYTTAAGAGAGTGAGGGGGATGCAAAAGGAGACCAAATATCAACACAGCAGTGGAAGAAAGCTTTGTTTTCTGGTCACTAGCTAATTTAGAATCCTCTCATTAAACTTCCCATTCAGAGTCTGCAGTTTAATTCCATATGACATTTTGAGCTTAATCACTAAGCTGTTACATTAAGGAAAATGTTCCAGGCCCTTTCAAGAAAACTGCTTTTCTTACATCTTTCAGATCCACAGCACAACTCCCCTGTAGGTCTTTCACACCTTATTTTTATCTTTAGAAGTGACCAATTGCTTCCAACAGAAAGGAGATCAGCAAAAGTTTGAGTAAGGGAAGATGTGCCCTGTAGTTTTTTCCAAAGAACCACCGAAAACTGGGCAAAACTGAAACCTTATGTACCTGTTGACTTTATTGAAAACTAGCCGATTTWAAATAAATCACATCCCCATGATTGTACTGTAATAAGTCAGCAGAGGGAACTACATTCATAGCCAGGGTGTCTAGGAAGAAATAAGTCTCAAAAGAAGAGGCAACTCACACCTTTTCCAACTTTTGAATTGCCAATGCTTTGCAAGTCAGGAGAAACAGCTTTAGTTCTTCCTGTAATAGCAGCCTGTGTCTGAAGCTTTTTTTGTGTCATGTCTGAGGAGAGTAATGGGAACCTGAATGTGTGGCAGGGGGGAATGCCGGAAGGCGTGCAGACAGTGACTGTACACACTGCTGGGCCGTGCCTCATCCCAGAACCACCCCTTTGGTCCCATTATTTGAGTCAGCACGTTTCGATAGGAGTTGTTGATGAAATCGTTCCTCTTGCTTTTTCTTCATCACCCCTAATTACTCACTCAAGGAATTTAATGCCGCCTGTAAAAGCATCAGAGCCATCAGCCCAACATSATCGGCCACCACCACCCCTCCTGACTCTCTCATTAACTTATATGGTCAAATCTCCAGCTGCCCTGGTTCCCTGCTGTAAAACAATCCTTCCTCTGTGAGAAGCTGTGGAATTTCCCTTATCGATGGTTCAAATGACTCCTGCTTGTAAACCTCTTACTGAGATGTTCCTTGATAGCGTTTCTGCTGGAGGCAGGGGCAGGGGGAGGGGATGGGAACGAGAGTGATCACTTTGGGCTGTTACTTCAATTCCCTGGCTTTACTGCGTTGCCCACGCATCACAGGGAAGTGCTGCTGCTTCTTCAGTGTCTCTAACTCAGTCTGTGGCTGCATTTCTATAGTTCAAAGTGCCCCAGCCAAAGGCCTGGTGCTATTGTGGCAGCGTGTGCAGGATCCGTGCATCCACGGCCGGGTGAAGCTCACTGTTTACACATCTCCCGGCCTCTTCCCAGGGAGGATTTGTCAAGCCTGGCTAGTTTGGCCATTTGGTCCTTTATCTGCCAGCCACACACCTGCTGTTCCTTCCATCTGGATTGTTGGGCCTTGGCGATTTTTCTCGTTAACCGCTGTTATCTCCTAGGTCTTGCAGGCTTTCCCATCTTGAAGATTGATCTTAGACCTCTATAAAGTGCTTTCAGGGAGGGAGTGAATCTCATTTAGGAACAGTCTTGGTTTGACTTGATCTCCATTGAGCCATTTCAGGTGATCTCTCTGATCCTGTGTGGACAGAGATCCTGTGGTGAATAGCTTGAGGAGCTTTGGGATTTAGGAGGTACTGCTGGCCACGATTTAGTGCTGAACATGACCACTGAAAACTTTTTCTTTTCACTCGTATGGAGTGCCACACCATTGGCCTTAAGGCATCAAAGGGATTTTATTCTCCTGATCCACCATGGAATTGCATATGAGGCACATGGCAGAATGTGGCATAGACTGCAGTGCTCATCCATTTGCCTAACCCACCACTGCTCYTTTAAGATCTTCTTCCCAAGTGTCAGCAGCCAGGCAGATGCAGACAGTTTCCTACCACAGTGGTCCTGCAGTGCAGCAKCTCTAAGAGATCAGGGGCCCTTTCCAGGGACCCTGGGGAAACTTGCTTTTTCTTCACCTGTTGAATGAAGTTCCGTTTGCTACAGGAGCTGTGAAAGTTTTAATTGCTTTAATATTACTTTTTTTTTCTTCCAAGCTGCATTTGTAGAGAAGCTGAGAGATGTAAGGACTCGAGGAACTGTCTGTAGAAAATTTAATAGGTCATTTTGGCAGGGTTTGGGCCAAGAAATAACTGAAGCCTGAAGCCCATTGTACACTGTAAAAGCTGACACTGCAATCACACTTGTTTATGATATCCACAAGTCCAAGTCTGCATTTTCCTAATGTAAAACACTAAAAGGACACAACACTAGAACTGCAGGGTGAGGACATGAGCACTGTTTGCCATTGGAAGAAGAATTACCTGGCATGCTCCCAGATGAAGCTCTAAGTTTCACTAAGCATTCTGTCTCGTTTTGACTGCCTTTAACCAGCTTTCACTCCAGAAAATGCCAAACCCTCTTTGGAGTATCCAGTTTTTGCCAAGTCCTGGGGACAGAAGGTGAAGGTCTGATGTGATGCACGGAACCACGTGTGCTGTTTCTCGTTACACAGCTGAAATATCCCTTCTCTAGCAAATTTCCTGGTACTTCAGGGCTCTGAAATTTGCACAAGGGAGCATAAATGTCATAAATTGTATAGAGATAACCCTGTTTTTTGAACCAAAAGGGCACCTGTTTTCATTTGCCCTGTAATTCCCACCCATTCTGCTGCTAGTGCTCAATTTGTTGAGAAATTTCCACATCTGGTAAGGGTTGACAGGGTTGAGTCCCCACTCCCATACTAAATGCCAATCGCTGCCACTGCAGGGATCTTTRCAAAGGATGTAGAGTCATGCACTGATAGCATTTTAAAGCAAAAATTTCACTACATACGTAGCGCATCTGTCCCTCAAATGACTCCAATGAAATGCAAAAGGGAAAGAGTACAATCAAGGCATCTGATGTTGAAAGGAAGCCTCTACTCAGCTCAGTGCCTGCACTGSAAGAGAGACCTGGAGAGGACGTGGAAGGCTGTGGATAACCAACACTACCCCAGCGAAGCCAGCGGGGTGGGAGGGTCGGGCACGGGGCATCACGGGGCATCGCGCCTGGCAARGCCAACTCTGCTGACCCCTCTCATCAGCGTGGTGAGGAAGAGGAGTGTCAGGGGGCTTTTTTAAACAAAATGATGTTTTTAATTGTTTTTTCCACATAAATGGAAGGAACCTTACACAACAGCAGATCCTTCTGAACAAAATGGCTGTGTCCGCTGACTATTTTTAAAACAAAAAAGAAAAAAGAAAAAACTGTTTCAGAACTTTTTAGTGTCAAAAGCATAAACTCAGAAATCCTGACTTTTTCCAGTGTGTGTGGTGAGTGCTGTAACCCTGTCATCAGTATCTCCCCTGACTTTTTCAGGGGTGTTTTTTCCTGTTTGTTTTCTGCTTGTCGATATTGTCTGTGTGGTCCTAAGGCTGGGGCARTTACCAACAATGTGTGTCTGTTGTCGGATTGAAAAAAAAGATAGTAGTAGAACTGAAAAAGATGTGTTTTAAAAAATATATAAAAATTAATTTCATTAAAAGGAATTCAAGTAAAGAAGCAACAAAGCCATGACTCCTCCTCTCGGGGTTGTACGGAAAAGGATTTGTGGGCTTATAATTATAACCAGTTGCCTTTTATAGGCTTTTGAGGTCCAAGGCAGCTTGGCCTCTTAGGAAGTGTTGCAAACCCTGTATAAATTCCTGCTTTCCCAGGTTTATACTGTATGCGTGTAAGACAGAAATGGGCAGAATGAAACAGTGTTTTGGAAATCAATCTTTTCTGGTAGCAGTTATCAACACCTAAGGTAGCAACCACTGATGTAAATGGGCCAAACGCTTTGGCCAAATTTTCCATTTTCTCCATCATGCCTGATGGAGAAAACAGATGCCAGGGACATGAGCAAGTGCAGAGCAGCTGGTGCAGGTAGTGTTTGCAGGTTCATTTTCAAAGTTATACTYCCTTGCCTCAGTGTTGGGCACATACCCACAGCAGGTTATGGGGCAGRAAAGGACCAGCAGCCACCTTCTGCTCTGGTTGTATCAGAGACTTGCATTGCTTACAAGGAACAATTGGTTTGTAAAATTAACAAAAAAAAAAACCCTGACAAATGGCTTTGCA